ATCCATAACTCTTCTTCATTTGACGTTGCTTGTGGTGTCAATTTCACGTAGACACCATCTCTTTTCCTAGCCCTTCCTTTGTATTGTTTCTTTGGGACTTCTTTTAAGTTCAATTTTACTACTCCCTCCAAGAGAGCATTTTTTGAATTGTTTGCCGACAACTTCATGTCGTCAGCAGCCTATGCCATACTTTTCTTTTCCCTCTTATTTTGGGTTTTTCATGATCTAGAAGACAATATTTACTCCACATTCTTTCTACCTCTGGTGCCGTTAATTGGCTATTTAATGTTGCTGTGACATGATTGGACTCAGTTTCTTCATTTTTCTGCTGTTTCAGATGCGTGGCAGCAAACTTCATAACCGGGTTAGGTAAGGCTTAAAGCCTTTTCTGTGATATGCCATGTTCTTAGTGGCTACTCCCCCGCTGCCCTCCCCCTCCCCTCTTTTAAGGGGAACAAAACAAAATATGAGCTTGGTGAAAAACCTTGTTACTTTTTCATTTTGGTAGCAAGTTTGCACTTTGTTATATCTCATCAAATTTCAGAAAAGATCCAGGGGCATCGCAATTATAAAAAGTCGTGTATCCAAATCATGTGAACAGTTATCTTCATATGGGTGCAGACCTCATGGATTAAAGCTGATTGTGGAATTTTTGTGGTATGCTGTTGTCATTTCTTTTTGTTTTGTGTGGTGCAGTGCACTTCCTCCACCACTTCAGGCGGGGGCATTTTCTCGTGGAGTTGTGACAATGCGATGTGACATTTCTACCAGTAGTTCTGCTCACATCTCACTTCTCGTGTCTGGTAGTGCAGAGACATGCTTTGATGACCAGGTATTTGTGTTTGTACTTAAGAATAAAGTTGTAGCACACATTCTAGGACTGTAGGTTTGCTTTTACTGCTTTTAAACCTGTAAATCATCGTTCTCCTTATCTCAGCTGTTGGAGAATCATATAAAGAGTGAAGTCATTGACAAAAATCAGTTGGTTCATGCACTTCCAACTGGCGAGGAAAATAAACAGCCTCTATCAGAACCTCGGAGATCTGTCTCAATAGCTTGTGGGGCTTCTGTTTTTGAAGCTTGCATGAAGGTTCCAACATGGGCATCACAGGTTCTTCTCCCCTGTCTGTGTGCAATGTGTTAGCCTCTCTTTCTCTCTCTCTCTCTATGTTATAAAGGGTTATCTTAGCATATATATCTCTTTGAACAATCCGCTGCTAGCCATGTGCCCTTAACTAGAACAGAGTTCTATTGCTTCTTAATTTTGAGATTCAGTAAAATCTGATGGCAAATTGTGCTTGCATTTTCAGGTTTTGAGGCAACTTGCACCTGATGTTTCATATCGTAGTTTAGTTGCACTTGGTATTGCCAGCATCCAGGGATTAGCGGTTGCTTCATTTGAGAGTGATGATGCAGAACGTCTCCTTTTTTTCAGTACAAGGCAGGGAAAAGATGGCAGTTTTAACAGTCTTACTATCAGCAATCTACCAACCTGGTTAAGGTCACCAGCACCTAGTAGAAAAAGACTGGAAACATCCCAAGCAACAAATGGTAACTCTAGCAATGGTTTGGCCACTGGAGTTGGTACAGCTGCAAAAAAGGAGTACTTGGAGGATAAGAAATCTGTAGTGAAGAATGGGGTTTCTGTTCCTCTGGTACCTTCTAGACAAAAACTTAAAGTTGCAGCTTTGAGACCTATCCCTCACATTCGTCACCAAAAAATGCTTCCCTTCTCTGGAATTCCAGAGGTGGAGGGACATGAAGGTACCCAGGTGAAGCCTAACTTGCCTCCTGTTGCTCCCACAAAGCATAGTGGTGTCGGTGTAACTCCTGTATCCAACCGGAAATCAGTGTCAAGTTCATATCAAGCTAAGCAAATCATTTCATTAAATCCCCTTCCCTTGAAAAAACATGGTTGTGGGAGAAGCCCTATACATGTGTGCTCTGAGGTAAGTAGTTTTCTTCTGTAACTTTTACGGGACAAACAAAATCCTTATGTGTATTTTATCCAGCTTATCTCACTTGGTGTTTGGGTCTTGTTGTATCCTCTAAGGATACTGGTTTACTTTTCCCTAATAATTTTGTTTTAGTGTGTAGAAACCTGACCTATTCAGAGTCTGATTTTTCTTGCATTTCTTGGTGATCGTTGTCTGTTTCTCCCCCTCTTAGGATAGCTGAAAAGATTTTGATTAATATTAACAGAGTATAATGTGCAAGCTATGTTATTTGGAGATTCATTTGTATGTTTACTATGCTAGTATACAATTTTCTGGTGATACTGTAGAGCCACTTTATATACCTTTTTTTTAAATTAGATATTATGAAAATGTTTCTCTTGAACAATTTGAATCTTGGGGGGGGGGGGGGTATTTGTTATCCCTTTTGCATCCTTTTCTTGTTTCTCCTTAGGGGATACTGCTGCTCGTGTTTATGGCTCATGTAACTACGTTCTCTTCTTGGACATCGTTTCATTTTTAGCTTGAGAAACAATTCTGTGAGGTTTAAGGCTTGATGTATGGATTTATTATCATGCTGGTCTTGTTTGTTGATTTGTCTTGTTTGTTGATTTGTGCTGATTCTTATCTGTTGCAGGAGGAGTTTCTAAAAGATGTGATGCAATTTCTCATACTTCGTGGCCATACTCGTCTCATTCCTCAAGGTGGGCTCGCTGAGTTTCCTGATGCTATACTCAACGCCAAACGTCTTGATCTATTTAACTTGTACAGGGAGGTGAGTTTTCTTTTTTAGTGATTGATGGCCAAGTCATTACAAATCTCATCATAAACCATAGTACAGCTGCCGTATCTTTTATGCTTTCTTAGTGGCAAGACAATTTATTCAGCATTAAAATCCTTAATCAGGTGGTTTCCAGAGGTGGTTTTCATGTTGGCAATGGCATCAACTGGAAAGGTCAAGTTTTCTCAAAGATGCGCAATCACACCATAACTAACAGAATGACAGTATGCTCTCTGAATTCCCTTTCTTATGTGTTAGGGTTCTTATATCCCAAATGTTATTTTTTAATAATTCAATAAGTACTTAAGAGCTCTGGTTTTCTTAAATGCAAATTTTGCTCCACTAGACATTGATTTCACATGCTCTGTATATCAGGCTCTCTCTTAAATTTCAGTTTACTCCTATCCCAAGTCTTTTGAGTATTTAAACTTCATCTTCGGTCCTTCAGGATGCCATGCTCAATCAAACTAACGTGTTCAGTTTGGGGCAGGGTCTTTAAGACTGCATTATATTCATCCTTCCAGTTTTTTGGCAACTGTCTAGTTGGGACCTAGCATGAATGTTATGAAGATGTTCGCTATTTAATTATTTCTGACACTGTTCAATTCTGAATGTCCTGGTCTGCTGGCTATTAAACATGCTTTTGCATAATTCCAGGGCGTTGGAAATACATTAAAAAGGCACTATGAAACTTATCTTTTGGAGTATGAATTGGCTCATGATGATGTGGATGGAGAGTGCTGCTTGTTATGCCACAGGTTGCGTTGTACAATTTTCTACTAAGTCAAATTTGAGAAGCCTTGTGAACTAATAATTCTAACACTTGATGCATAAAAATGTTCCAGTAGCGCTGCTGGAGATTGGGTTAACTGCGGCGTTTGTGGTGAATGGGCTCATTTTGGCTGTGATAGAAGGCAGGGACTTGGTGCTTTCAAGGTGCTCCGCTAAATCTATTTAACTTCTTGATTGTGAACATATTTCTGGAATTTGTGCAGACAAGTATTAGTTGATTTTGTGTTTTTTTTTTTTTTTTTTTTACTTTGCAGGACTATGCAAAAACAGATGGACTAGAATACATATGTCCGCAATGCAGCGTGTCAACTTTTAAGAAGAAGATGCAGAAAACTGTGAATGGATATTGAATGGATGTTCTTAAGAAACCTGTATTTTGCTTATTGGCTTCTTCCTGTCCCTACTTGCTTTGTTATCAATTCATCAAGAGTAGATTTTTGTCTCTCCCTCAAACAGGAGAAAGTTTCTTAGCTCTAGCATTAGATTTGTGTTGATAGTTAATTTAGTAGTTGCAGGAGTTCTGGTCTGTATAACTAGGGGGGGGGAGGGGGGGCAAACTTGCTGCTCAATGTGTGTAGGCAAAGGGAATACTGGAGCGAAGACGGCAATTGAAGGAAGAAAACTTGAAGAGCAGAGAACACTATGGGTGGAATTGGACTTGGTGATGAGAAGAACAGTTTGCCCGGGTGGTTCCATCGGTGATAGGATATTCTCTCCCTTCAGGAAAGAAAGGGGATGTATACGGAGTGAAGATTAGGTAAGCGGCGTTCTGGCATGGCCCAGTTTTTCGAACATAAGCCCCTTTTTGGCGAAGGGTTTTGTAAAATATGATACATCTCATCTTTTTTTTACTACTACCTATAAGGCAGCCAGTTAGCGGCTGTAGCTCTAGTGAAAGTATTTTTGCCGATTCACGTGCAATTTGGCTTCCACTATCAACCTTCTTTTTCTTGGTTTTCATAAATTTTGCTGGCATGTCGCGCCAATTAGACTTATGCCTCTTCATTTGTAGTAATAGCGTGTTGCTTTGACGTGCATCACGTTAGTTACCATGCAAAAGCACCATCCAATTTCTCCACTTCAGAACAAGAAGGGGCAAATGCAGTGGATGCTACTCAACTGATGGAGGACGAGCAGGTTCAGGTCCAAGAGACCCCCTGTCGCATTCGGCCAACGTCGCTTCAATCATTGAACTCGATCCAAGGCTTTAAATTGGTAACTTAGCAGTCCAAGGTTGTCAAATTTATCTCCACCCCAAAAACCAAAAAAAAAAAAAAAAAGGAGACATATGGTAGTGTAGTTCTGCTTGCTTATTAGGAACAAATCGTAATGGTGGCCGCCCATGGTTTTATGCCCCCTTGCGGAGCGGAGTTCCTGTTTATTGGATTTTTAGATGATGCGTTCAAACGGCAGCAAATTAATTTGCCAAAAACACAGCCCTATAGCTCATTAGCTTGGGGGCATTAGGAAACTCCATAAACAAGAAGGGGAAACTTTGCAAGAAAAGGAAACATTAGGTTGGGGACTCTGGGAACTCTAAACAAGAATGAGAAACTTTGTAGGACAAGGAAACAGAATCTCATCGTCTCTCTCTCTCTCTCCCCCCTCCCCCTCATCTAAACCACCGCTAAAACCCTACGCACATAAACCTCCCAGACACATTTATGTGCTCAAAGCAGAATTCAAGACACTTGTCTCAATGGCGAGAAGGAAAAAAAGCAAGTCTTTGCGACCCGTTAACTCTGATATGGAAGTTGACAACAACGAGCGAGAAAACAAAGAACATGGATGGTCATGGGAGAAAGAATTCCAATCAAAGGAAGAAGAAGATTATTTTTCCATCAGTTTCTTTGATGACCATGATGATGGGCAATATTCTTGGCACACAGGAGGAGGACATAGATATTATCGTCAGAAAGCAATCTCTTACTCAAGAATCACAATGCTTCGAGAACATGAAATTGATGATGATGACGACGATGCTTCTCCCAAAGCCCCTGATGTCAAGCAGAAAGGTACCATTACCATGCGTAAAGTTACAATTTTTCCCTTCCATTATCAGTCCACGAATTTTATTCATGGGGTTTTCCATATGATAAGTTAGTTACTACGTACTAAAACTTTTTTCTTTGTTATTGTTTTTAAAAATACAAATTAAAAAAAAAAAAAAAAAAACCACATATCAGGAATCTGCACTTCTTATCCGCTAAAGCTAAAGCCTCGTTTTTCTGCTCCGTTCAATATCTGGACATCACGCACGGAGAAAGGAGAGTCTTCTTGGTCTGAGTGCGCGCTTTGCGGTGACGATAAACCCACTGGAGAGATGCAACGAAGCTCTGACTGCGGACACCTGTTCTGCGAGGATTGCATGAGGGTTTACGTCGGAGGAAAGATTCAAGAATATACAAATATTAACAAGAAGATCAAGTGCCCGAAGGAAAATTGCAATAAACAGTTGGGAATTCAACAATTTCGCCAATACATCCCGGATGAAGTCTACGATCGAATTGTTGAAGCACGACGAGAGAGCAATGTCCTTGCAAGCCCAGAAATCATGAAATGTCCTCTGTTGTTCTGCTCTGCTAAATTCGTGGATGATAACAGGGGCTTCAAGATCAAAGCTTGCCCGGGATGTTGGGGAATCTTCTGCGTGGAATGTGGGGTTAAGTGGCACATGGGCAAGTCTTGCGAGGAGTATCAGGCTGAGGTTCGGGCGGACGCTATAGCTCAGGCTCGTGCTGGGTTTGATGCTGTGGCTCATGATCTCATGCAGTATAGCTCCCTAATTCGTGAACATCTCTCCCTGCCAGCTATCTTTTTCTTTAGATAAACCCCGGTTAACCCTGCTGCTGACCAAATTCGATTCATGGGTGAAGTCGAAGATCACAAATAATGATGGGTAGATAGATTTCCTGAATTTTAAGGCTTACGAAGGGGTTAGATTCCCTCGTTTGTCTAGTAGATTTCATCTACTTTTGACTTTTGTTCGTTCGTTATTATGGATCGTAGACCTAGCAAATAGAGATACTGATGATTCGATTTATGGGTTCCATTAAAATTCTTTTTTTTTTTTTTTTATTCAGCGTCTGGGATTGTTGACCGCTGCATGTTGTTGGTTCGTGGGTATATTAGAGGGTTTGAGTTGAGGGCTTTGGTATACAATTCTACATCTTTTCTTGAGAATCCCGAATCTATGGAGGAACCGGTCTTGTTTGGATTGCGAGTTGTTGGCAGAAATTAAAAAAAAAAAAAAAAATCCACACGTTTCCATCACTTTATACGCATCAGAGCACTCACCACTTTTCTGTCCGTTCGAGAGATGTTTGTGTGATGGTACGTGTCTAATCATCTTCTTGTTATGTTGACCACACTAACAATACTACTGGGAGCACAGGACATAGGGCCCGATGGTTCGTGTTCAAATCATATAAGTGATTGATTAATGAAAGTTCAACAATCTAACATCCCTTAGTTTTAGTGTGGTTATTTAAGTTATCACATTTGTTACTGAGTCTTCGTGTCCGCGTTTGTTGCATTATTTCCAACCACGCTTCATGTTTATTTAAATGGTCGGATTTGTGTTAGATAAGAGTAATATTGAGTCATTAGTTGATGGTAAAAGACTAGGTCATGTTGATCATAGTTGAGCTTTAAATCGAGTTAAGGATAAGTTTTAGTTGGATGAATTCTGGTCATGTTAGATTTCTAAGTCATATAAAAGCCATAATAACCTTAGTTATACATTTGTAAGTTAGGCAGGACATGAATAAGAATTTTGTTAAGAAATTTTTAAAATTTCTTTCTTGTGAGAAAAAGTTCTTTTGGCTTGTGAAAGCCGTTTTTGAATATCTTAGAGTTGGCGTAAGATGTTTCATCAACTTATCAATCAAGTATTTACCTTAATTATAGCGATTTCTAAGTGATCCAATCGTTCTATCCGTTTTGATTTTTCTTAAGCGATCCAAGATAGATTAAAGACTTTCATCCCCAAAAATAGATCTTAATATAGGTCCAGATCTTACGATTCACGTTCTTGATTCGTTTTGACGTATTGAAAATGAGATTAATGCGACGGCGGTTTTCCAGTTTTAGTCGGTCAAAACGAGACAACAGGGAGACGCTGGATCGGGAGCTGCACTGCATTTTTACATGCTTATCTCTGCTATTTTTATGTAAATAGCTAAATTAATGAATGATTTGTCTGCCGCTCCCAAGTTCCTCTTCTTGTTTTTTGACTCCAAAATCCCTATGGGATCAGAGAGTAAAGGAGTTGTACTTTATCTAAACAAAGGGAGTTCTTTAGCTTCCAACGAGCAATTTTTCCTTTTTTTTTTTTTTTTTTTCTTCCAATAATCTTGGGATCACTTTGCCTGAATTGATGATAAGACCAGCAACTCCTCCGTGGAAGTCGAACCCTGAACTAGATCTGATTAAGGCGACTAAATTTTGACTCCTAGTTTCTACTTTGGTAGAATTAAAATAGTCCGGACAGAGAATTGAAAATTGAGCTTATTACTTATGAAATTAATGAAGACATGATGAGTGGCAACGATACATTGGCTTATTTACACAACTACAAACTTCCATGTTGCATTCATTGATTATTTTTTACGCATTGGCTTATTAGGACGGTACAGGTAGAGTCTTATTAGTACTTCATACATTTACAGTAGCAGAGTTGATATTGCGATGTGTTTACTCAAAGCAGACAAGTTTCGCGCCGCCCTCATTCATCCGTTAATGTTAAAATTGCAATACACATAATTGACACTTTGGTAGATGATTAACTGTCATAATTGACACTTTTGTGATCAGATTATAGTCTAAATAGTCCCGATGGAAAATGATTTTCTAAGTCAGGCATAGAATGGAATGGTGGTGGCAATGACATTTGACTGTGTGTATACTAAAAGTGCAGTGCTTAAAGATAGATATGATGGGAACTGAAATGGTTTTGGTTTCTGCAAAAGATGTTGGAAAGGGGCCAAACTAATCGACGGTGCTGCTCCTGGTCATGCCTTCCGATCGAGGCCAGTTGTGGATCATCATCATTGGCAATTTGGAAGCGACGATATGGTGACGGTGCTGCTCCTGGTCATGCCTTCCGATCGAGGCCAGTTGTGGATCATCATCATTGGCAATTTGGAAGCGACGATATGGTGGGCAGTGGCACTGGGGCCAATGCTGCTGGCTGCTTCTACTCCGATTAATGCGTCCTGCAATCGCCAATCAATCTTCTTGCTGCTGCTGCTTCTCTCTCCCTCAACTGGGACCCCACCACTCCCATCTAAAACTTCCAACGGTGAAAAATGCGAAGTCAGTCACTTCAGTTTGAGACGAATTTATTACCGGATGAGGATGAGGATGAGGGAGCAGGGGGTGCATGGCATGCAGGCAAGGAAGCCAGCTACCAGTATCCGTGTCACTGGGTGGGCCATTAACAGAAAGGGGTTTCATTGTTTTACTGTGCCTCGACGCGTTATCTAATTAAGCCCATAATGGCGAGGCTGATCAGTCATCAAAATCATGAATGAGTTGAGTTCCGGCAGGAGAGCTAATCAGCCTGTCGTAAAATTTCTACTGTCCGGTGGGAGTATCAAAAGCATATTAATTCTTTGTCAGTTCCCGGTCATGGACAAGTTTTTGGTTTGGCTCTAGCGGCCAAGCACTTTTATATATATACTGCTGTATTTGACTACTGTGATGGACAGATCAGAGAGAGACGCAGACATAAAAATGGACTGCGAACAAAGGCACCAAAGGTATGGTTGCTCTTTACTGATTATTAAATTATTAGTTCCCAAAAACAGTGTAGTAGTGTAGTCGTTGCTGATGCCAACTTATTTCTTCTGCTTGCTTCAAAATTCAAAGAAAAGTAGCAAAAAGCAGGCATGGGATGATGGGATGGGCCTCTCTTGCCACTTTAAAAAGTCTACAATCAAAGGTTAAAACGCCAACTTTTCTACTTTCATGCTTGCCAACCACTTGTTTTGACATTTTTAATTTCCTTCACCGTTTTTTTTTATTGGGTTGGATGCATCTCTGTAAAATTTTACAGGAACCAATGAGTTTGTTTGGACAAGTCAAATTTGGTTTGCAAAATTTGTTTTCACAAATTCCAATCACCTTTTTATCTCACATACATCACATCATAAAAAGTGCTACAGTAAATATCTCAAATAAATCATCCAAATAAACTCTTATCCAAACAAGTCTGTTTGGATTGTGAATTATTAGAGATATTTTTACTGTAGCACTTTTTGTGATGTGATGTATGTGAGATAAAAAGGTAATTGGGAAAGTAAAAAGGTGTATTGGAAATTGTAATGATGATGTAAGCAAATAAATTTTGAGAAATAAAGCTCAATCCAAACAAAGCCAATCTTTTACGCACTAGGAGTAATGTTGGCATGTCATTCTAAATACATGTTTCTATTGCAAATGTCAAATTTTATATGTATATATATCATGCATTCAACTGTGATGATACGGTATACTCTTCTTGAAATATTTATAAATTTTAAAAGTATGAAAATCATTGAGTGGCGTCTTTTAATTTTGAAGCCCAGGTGCACATCATTAATTAAAGAGAAATTCGCAAGTCATACTTGTACCATATTATTGTGATTTAGAATGCTCCTTCCTTTACTGTAAAGTCCAACAAGTTTGTGCACGGACAATAGCAGTGCTCCTGCATCTACTGTATGTAATTATTATGATGGTGCTCCACTTCTGTACGTGTATCATTTCTTTAATCTCATATAATTGTCATCATTTTTAGAAGCTTTTGCTAAACCCTAGACATGCAAAGTTATGCCACCTAAGTGACCCGAAAATACTACAGCTGTTTTCCACCTTTCTTCGCTTTTGTCCTTTTTTTTTCCCCCTTTCAGGATTATACAGAGTAGCGTGTGTCTTCCTTCAAAAACAACAACATAACATATTATTAGTATCAATAATATACTCTTACCGCAAAATTTGCACTTCGCTTTGCTATCCCTTCTTTAAATGACCCCTGTCTTATTATTATTATCTTAATCTGCGATCCCTCGAGATTTTACCGGCCTTGCTTTTGAGTCTTTCTGCAAATTATTTCGCATTCAAGTCAATATAATTTCAGGCAATACAGGCTAATTGCTTAGATTATAGGTTAAAAAAAAATATCCGTCAAATACACCTCTGACACGAGTTTGTTCTTGTTCTATACGTGTCGTGCTGAATCAGCAGCACGGCACTAAAATTAAATTTCGCAGAAGTCAAAAAATTGTCAGTGGGTTCAGCGTTGTGTCAGTCGAAGCCGTGCACAGTCAGCACGGCTCCGACTGACGCAGAAGCATTGCTGTCAGTTTTGTGTCAGTCGGAGCCGTGCACACAACACTGAACGCATTGACGGTTTTTTGACTTCTGTGAAATTTAATTTCGGTACCGTGCTAAGTGTATAGAATAAGAACAAACTCGTGTCAGAAGTACATTTGAAGGATATATATATATATTTTTTTACCTATAATCTAAGCAATTAGCCGGCAATACATATAGTTTTCATCCATTGGAATCACAATATTTTCGAACTATGAAAAAAAATCTAGAATAGTGTATTATTTGAAATATTATTTAAAATACGTGTTGTGTTGTTTGAACTTTGAATAGTATATTATTTAGAATATGATGCAAGCGAAATATTATACTTTCTTTCTTTCTTCTAGTCTAGTCTAGTCTAGTTAGGGACTAAAGCACTGAAAGATTCTTTTGTCGCAGCTCAACTCCACCATGCCATCAAATACTGGTATGAGGTGATCTCAACGACCAACATGTACTACTAGTAGTTACAGTTTCATTAGAATCAAGGACATATTATATTGTGAATCTCAAGTCTCCTATTATATTCTCCTATTAATTAATATAATAAATACTACTCCTTTATTTAAACACTCCTAACTAAGCTGAGCAAGAGCTACTGGATCGCGCGTAGGCAGGCAGGCATGTCCTGACGTCCATCCGTCGTTTTTTTCCTTTCCTTCTTTCTTTTC